TAAGAGAACTACACAAATAGATGGATGTTACACATGGGTCTACAGGGAATAGAAGTGGGTATACCTTATTTTTCAGCAAGTCTTTCTATTCTTGATTATCCACTTGCACCATTTTACCACACAATCCTTATAAGTGTTATACTTGTAGGATTAGAGTTCAAATTAGACATGACCTCAGTCTCTACTCTAACCTCCTGCTCAAAGTAGAGTCAGTCATGAGATCAGACTAAGTTCGCCATCACTTTACCCAGTCATTCCTAAAAAGTGTCCAAGGTTGAAGACTGTACAACCTCTCTAGGTAATCTGTTCTAACACTGGCCTGTGGAACAGAATCACAGAATTGTTAAGACTGGAAAAGAACTCCAAGATCCTCAAATCCAACCATTATCCTCAAGGTGAAAAAGTTTTTCCCTGTAAGCACTTGAACCTCTAGCACCTGTTGTCTATTGCATTTCCACCATGACCCACCGAAGCACCTGCTGTGTGTTTTCCAATAATCTCCCCATAGTTACTGCAAGGTTGCTGTTAGGCCTTCCTGAAGCCCTGGTACTAATCCTGAGCCAGATCTTATGAAAAAGATCAAAAAGTAAAAATTAACCTCCTAGGGCTAAAGCTGTTCAACTACCAAGTATTTTTTGTAAGAAGAAGAATACGCCAAAAGCCTAATAAGCAGAAATGCATAAACTGTGTAAAAGGCCTTCCTATTGCAAGAACACAGTAACAATTCAGATTTTGATGCAACACTTAAGTGAGATTCAGAAAAAAAAACAACCTTTATACCTCTTATTCAGTTAAAACAAAATGCACATAGTTTATAGATGCAAGACACGTATCAAATTATGACCATAGATACTGTATATTACCTTCAGCAATTTCTCTAAATTTTGCTTCTGCTCCAGGACTCTTGTTTTTGTCTGGGTGATATTTCATAGCCAGCTTGTGAAATGCCTTCTTAATCTGGCGGTCAGATGCATTTTTTGGAACTCCTAAGATATCATAATAGCTCTCTGTAGCCAGTATTAATTCCGTTATCATTAAAATGCAGAGAGCAAATGTGAAGACAGATTGTGTAGTAGCCATTTCTCCAGTTCCTAAAAAGAAAGGGAAATATACTTGAAAAACAAGTTGTTTTACATTCTACAACAACTTAGTTACAGCTGTAGGCTGTCAGAGGAAGACCAGCATGGTACAGGAGTCAATGACAGACTTTAAGCACACTGTTTTACACCTGTCAAACTCTATCACGCTGTTTTCATATTCACAGAATACCTAAGTGAAAATACTGCAAAGTGACATTTCATATGCATAACAACCACTTTAGTGTCTGTTTTACACTTAACTGATCATTGTCATACAAAGTTGCAAAAGCAATACACAGCACATTCCATTGCATCTAACATTTCACACTGCCACACCTGAACTAGCTTTCCATTAATCTTGAGTTCTAGGACCCCAAACAGAGTACCTCTAAATTAAGCACAAGCTGCAAAAACTGACCCTACTGGAAGACCAAGTCACTGATTAGCTGGTGCAACAACAGGAGCATGAAAATACAACTGGCCTAGAGTTGACTGTGAGGTGCAGGAAGACGAGACTATTAGACACTCATGATCCAGTTCAGTTTGTTTAACCACCTAAGGTGAACGTGATGAAGAGCAGATCATTCATTTCCAGAGTTCAGCCAAGTAAAGCACACTTTCCTCTATTTAACAATAGGCTGGCTTAGCTCATCTGCACATTAGATTGCTTTATAAAGGACAACACCTACCATATCTTTGATATCAAAAAATTCATCTGATAAATATCACTGCATAGAAAGGTTTACATACGAAACCCTCAGTGTTAGAACTAAAGGCAAAAAAAAAAAGTGTTTTATACAAGACAAATAGCTTCAACAATAATTAAAAGCTGTAATTTTTTTTTCAACAACTCATCTGTCAAAAATTATATTTTGAAGCAAATATATGAGAACTTAGGGGAAAATTGTGGCATATATCAATGACTTAAACACATAGCCACATGTGATCTCATGATTTTCATGAAGGACAGAGTGAGCTGTTCCTACTAGAAGGTGAGAACAGATAATATGCCTGTGCATATTATATTTGAAACAGAGTGCAGAAAGGCAAATGTTCAAAGACAGAATGCTGGCTGACACCTGACCAGAAGGATGTACAAGACCCTGAACATTCCAGATGTAACATGTTCCCCTCACCAGATTACACTGATTTAAATGTAATGTAATAACAACTCCGAGACGGTGATACTTTCCTGAAAGTTGAATAAACAAATTTACAGTCTGAGCACCATTAAAGTCAGAACACTTTTGCTAGCCAGCAATATTTGCCAGGCAGAATTCAAAACCTTTGAATACCTGACACATATGAAAATTAAACATTTACATGAAAGTCAATTCCCTCTAAACAAAATTAAAAAGCAAGAACCAAAATTGGAAAAAAGAATACCATTTCTAATAGGCAAGTCAGGGGGCTAAAATGAATGCTGTGAGACAAGAGCAAAAGGCCTGCAAGATTAATCTACCCATGCCCTCTTAAGCATTTATTTGGCCAGCAGCCTGCATGATATCAAGTGTTAAGGGGCAGCAGTTGAAACAAATTGTATTTTGATCAGTGTACTTAGATACCAAATGGATAGTTCTTTCCAGTATTCCCCATGCACAATATCAGACATATTTTTAGTACCAAGTTCTCCCACATATCTTCTCTCACCACTTCACTAACCTGATATTTTACCGCTTGGGCACTAAGAACTGCACACATGTACATCCTCCCATGTTTCTAGGGCTTTCTTCCTGCTTGTGCTTTATAGGTGCAGACTTATGTGTTCACCTCACATATGTGATTGTTTTAATTTACTTCATTAAGCCACACCTGCATCATGCTTGCATAATCACCTGCTGCACTCTCTTAAGGTCAACCATCCTGCTTCCACTACTGAACACTGAAAAGAGCTAAAAGGAACAGTTCATGTCCTCCATTAAGAGCAAAACCCTGTTTCATAAGTCATGAGAGCCAGAGATCATCAAGTTAGTCCTTCAGGTCTTCTGCTCTGGCTTATCATCTCAACTTGCATTATTTTTGATAACAAAATACAACTGAATTTTTCTTTTTCTACAGTTCTTTACATTAGGAGTTCTGTAATGAAGTTCTTTGCTATATTTGATTTCTAAAGCATAGTAAAAAAACAGGACTTAAATTTCAAAATTTTTTAAATGAGCAAACACAGATTTAATGCCACCCTTGAACAAATCAATCAAACTCAAATTTAAGATGTAAATAAAAACCAAATACAAATAAAACTCTAGTATAAGCAGCATTTTGAACTTCACAGGGTTATCAGAGAGAGCAAGTCTTATATTTAGATACTGTCATTTATTGGATTTACTTTTTAGAAAACACCTGTTTTATATGCTATCAGTATCTTAGTGTTGCTACTGCCAACTACTTCAGCCTTGCCATTCCAAGCTATTTTTACAATCCTTTTCAAAAGAAAGTCTCTTAAATACTTTTTTTTGCTTATGTCTCTTCACCCTCTGTTTGTCAATCAAAAAGGGATAGATAAGTTGCACTTTCCAGATCATACACTGCAGCTACTTAAACCACATTCCAGAATTCAATAAATTTTGTACACATTAAGCTCATGCATTAATCAGCTCTTCTAATAATTATTTATATACTTAATTTAGGTACATCTGTCAATGAAGTAAGAGACCTTAGCCACATAATAACTGTTTCATTCTGTTGGGTGAGCAGGTACAGATCTCAACTACTGTTCACCTTGGTATAAGAAGTGCACTGTATAATGTTTATCCAAAGTACTACAGAGGTAATAACAATCAGTTCTTCATTAGCTTATCAACATTTACCAACACCTGCACAATGAAGCAATGCTTGAGGATGATGTACCTAGAATAAAACCTGTCAGATTTAGAAAACAAGAAGCTACTTCTTCTTGCAACACAAATACCCTATTCCATCGTTCTTTGAAAGTAATTAACCAAAATCTTGGATAAATGCTTATATTCAAAGTCTCGCATACCCAGAGAACACAGTGCATCACTAGTGTTCTGCTACTACTTTCATTACAGAATTGCTATACACCAACCTGTGGAATGCTCACGTCCTGTAATTGTTTCTGCAAGCAATTTACTAATAGTAATAAAGTTTCCGAGGTCTTCTCCGTTCTCCTACCACGACTAATCTGATGAGTAAGCAAGTCTTCCAGTCCTCAAGCAACTACAGGCAAGTCTGTCAAACGGAGGGGCTTGTACTTGTCTTGGCCTCTCCTATACTGACTTGAAAGCATTTACAGAAGGTTCCTGAATCTTGCCCTGGAGCACAGGGAAACGAAGGAATCAACCTGGCATCATCCCACTATCCAGACCCCTCAAGACCTCTCTGGAGCCGGACCGCACCATCGGGCGGGGCCAGGCCAGAGCCGGGCAGCCGCTAACAGCCACATTCTGCGACGCTGTCCCACCACCAATGCAGCCAGGCTGGGAAACGCCACCGCAGCGCGGCCCACAGAGGCCCAAATTCCAAATTAATGCTCCGGACCGAGCCCCAGCGGCCCCTCTCTCCGCTCCCCCGCCTAGTTTCCCACGCTGCCCTAAGCTTCCAAGCGCCCCCCTCCCGACCCCTCCGCGTTCGCCTTCACTCCACCCACTTCAGCAACCTTCCACTTTCTCGGAGCCCTTACCCAGCGGCCGCGGCCCTTCTCCGCCGCCCTCACCTCAGCGCCGGCCCCGCTTCTCCGCCGCCCTCACCTCAGCGCCGGCCCCGCTCCCCCGCCGCCCCTCAGCGCCGCCACCGTTCCCTCCCTCCCGCCCGCGCCCAGCGCTCGCGCCGGCCCCCCGCGGTTCCTACACGAAGCGCTGCGCCATTGGTCGTGGGGGCGCACGTGATGCGGTGCACGCGGGAGGTCGCAACCTCGGCGCCGCCGCCACCAGCCGCTGGGGGCGCTGTGAGGAGGCGGTGCCGCCCCCGGCCCGACCCGGCCCGACCCGGCCCGTGGTGGCCGCCATGCCGCGGTACTGCGCCGCCACCCGCTGCAAGAACCGCGGCGGCCAGAGCGCCAAGGACCAACGCAAGCTCAGCTTCTACCCGTAAGTGGCCGCGGAGCGGGGCAGGGTCTGGATGAGCGCTGGCCGGGGGGTAGTCGTGAGCCCCACCGCGGAAGTAAATGGCCGAAAGACTCAGCGCCACGGGTGGACCACGCTGATGGTCGCCTTGGAAGCCTGCCTGCTCCCGGGAGGCTGGAGGGAAACGACGCTGATCTCCTGGAGGAATGGAGGGTGTAGGGACCCCCTGGAGGAAGGGGGGGTGTAGGGAATAAAGAGCGGACAGCTGGGACGCAGTAGCAAAGAGCGTCCCTCGCACCAGACAGACGGAACCTGGGGGAGGGAGCGATGACACGGCCGCGTCTGAGCGCCCTCGAATAGGTGCAGAGGGCCCGTGAAGTGAAGAGCGAGGAGAGTTGACTAAAAAATAACATTTGCACTTCTGACTCCGTTTCGCTGCTGCCTCTATGGAAGCGATGTTCCAGCAGGACAAGGCAGTAGGGGAGGCTTTGGCTTAATGGTGAAAAGTCTTGTGTGTGACGGTTTACAGGCCAGGTGAAGGGCCCGGAAGAGTAAGCAAGTAAACATAAAACGATTCCTTAAAATTAAGCTTTGCCACTAGAATTATTACCTTACCTGCACTGTGAACAGAGGCATTGGTGGTTGTTTGGAAGCAGCTGAGTTAGCTGGAACTTAGCTACTTGGGCTGCCAAAAACCAGTTAATGGTGGCTGCATTGTGCTGTCCAGACTCGGCAGGGACCAGTCTCACCCCAGGCCTGCAGTGACCTCTGCCCTGTTGTGGTTACGTGGCTATCGCTTCCCAGGATGCTGAGTTGTAAACAGTATTTCACAATCCTGAGAGAAGCACAGTGCAGGTAGCTAAATATGAATGTATTTGTGTAGAATAAAAGTATGAAACCATTTGTCAACAGAAGCAACTTAAGAAAAAAATGAAAAATAAATTTCACAATTAGCCTCAAAATCTGGTTATGGTAAAATTTATACCTCCAGCCAGGTTTTCTTTCAGTTTCTGATTAGTCATAGTTATTCCAAGATCAGGAAGGCTGTGTAGGAAGACCTACAGGAAGACTTCTTTGAAAGAAATTTTATTTTAGATTGAAAGAAAGCTTATATCCCTGGCACATTTCTAATATGGAATGCATCATAAAACAATAAGGAAAATAATACTTTTCCCTTATGCCTTAGAGAGCATGTCATATGGATAATCAAAAGAAGTTTGAGCGCTGAGACATGTCTGTATTCAAATGTACGGCATCAGTATGGAGATGATTGCCAAAACTTAGCTGGTTTATCTAGCCTTTGAGTTGTGCTCCATTCTGAGTTTCATGCTCCTGTAGAAGGGGTGCTGAGAGTTGATTTATTGATTTCTCTTGCCTTATATTAGTGACTACTGCTGACATGAATTGCAAGTTTTATTCCCTTGCCTCTTACCACTGCCAAAGAAGTCCGCTGCTGCGCTGTGTTTGGGGTCTGAGCCCCTTCCAAACCTTTTGTCACCTAATCTCAACTGGCCTAACTGCCCTTGTTTTATTTCTTCACTTCTTTGACTTGTGTAGTGATGGCAGCTGCTTCCTCTTTCCATTTCCCCTTTTCTATGTCTTGTTTACGCTAGATTCTGTTGATTAGTGAGGAGTTATTGAAGCATGAACAGATTTTAGCAAAGTTACCTTTAAGCTAAAATAATAACTTTCACTGTCAGACCCTTCTCTTGCTACAGATTGTTTTGTTTTCCATCTAAAGCTGGTTGAGTCTGGGTAGAGCAGTGAGTCCTGTGTTGTGAGGGTAATTGCAGTGGGAGCAAGTGTTCTCAAGGCCTTCTTGGAGAGGGTGTGAGTTGTGACATGACCCTCAATGAAGGGAGGCCATCGTCTTCCTGAGAGACTTTTTTTGGACCTCTGCAGTAACAGCCAGGCTAAGCTGTGTTACCAAGGAGCACGCTCTGTCACACATGCAATGCTGCCACTGGGTGCACATGATCGAAGTAGACAGGATTTGAAAAGCCTGAACCTCTAACTTGTCCTTCAGAGGTTACTGTGTTCTTGTTCCTTGCATTATTCCTTGCATTCCTGCAGATACACAGAGCTGGATGCATCAAATGCCTGCTCTATTTCCTTGGTAATTTGAAGACTTACGTGGCAGCAAATTCAAAAGGTTGGGGAAGGGGTGAAGACATGCACCTTTATGCTGTGTCTTTTTCTCCAAATCACCTGAGTTTGCAGTTTTGGAGCACAGGGCCTGTATATGAGTCTGCTGCTCTGTGTGGCTTTTGGAGGAAGCCTGCAGCTTCAGGGATTTGAGGGTGGCATCACAAAAGCTGAGATTTTTCCTTTGTAATTATTGTTGCTCGTGATTCTCAGGATATTGTTTTCTGAACGGTAGTCACTTAACAGTGCTCAGAATTCAACTTATGGTTTATGTACCATATGTGGTTATATGCTAATGTAAAATTGATATGCACCAGAGAAACGTAGAAGTACATTTCAAATACCCTGATACCTGACTGAGAAGAGGTGAGAGACAAGAGTGGTCTGAATGTTTGTGTTCCTGTTACCATCACTTCTTGACTGTGCATGCATCATAATAAGCCTTTAATTTGCCTTTCATTTGTGTATTGCCTGTTATTAAGTAAATTACATATCGTCACACACTTTCTTTTTCATTTAGTTCTCTTTCTGATGTCTGACCATTTGCATGTATTTTTAAAGTCAGGTTTTTTTCTGTGAGGGTGTATACTCATAATTTACTTTTTCAGGTAGGTTAGATGATTGAAAAGTTAATTCTAAATTCTAAAATATGATGTGGGCTCCTAATCCTGTGAGAAAGTTTAATTGCTAAAACACAAAATATAGAAATGCTTTGCATCTGCATGCATTTACTTTCTGAACAAAATTTAAAACCTGTATTGGAAATATTCACATTGCCAAATTATCTGATAATCCAAAGAGGGTCATGTATTAGGAGGTACTCTGTTAAACAGAAAATACTAGTTGTATCTAGAAAGACAAATAAGCCCTAGATATACTATTAATAAAATGAAGACCAGTCTTAACTTTCTTGAAATTATGTCTCAGTATTTCATCTCCCTTCAGCAGAACTGCTTTCTGAGCAAGTGTTAGAATCAAACCTTTCAAAACATCTGGGCCATGGATTCTGAAACCCTTGGCTAGTAGAAATCAGAAATTCTACTTCTGAACTCCAGAGCACATACAACTAGAAATAATGTATATAGTGGTTGGATTAACGTGTACATGACATCCAAATTAGCATTTAATAGCTAAAATTTTTGAAAAAAATGGTATTATAATATTTTCTAAAGGAAGGCTACCTTCTCAGTAACAATGAGATATTCTTATTTAAAACAAAGAAAGACAGCAATAACAGGGGGGGGTTTATATTTTCTTGTTTGTCTTTTCAACTGCTTTAAAAAGATTCCCACTTCATGATAAAGAGAGACTTGAGAAATGGTTGCGGAATATGAAGCGGGATTCGTGGACTCCAAGTAAGCACCAGCTCCTCTGCAGTGATCATTTTACCCCCGATTCCCTGGATGTGCGGTGGGGGATACGGTACTTGAAAAATACTGCTGTGCCAACTATTTTCTCTTCCTCAGATGATGAGGTAATCTATTTCTATCCTTTTTTGTTTTGTAGTACGAAGCTAACCAACTATTGATGTAATACAGATTTTCTAATAATTACAGATAATCATGTTTTATTTAAAAAATAGAATTCCTGTCCATCAATACAGTTTGTCAGCAGGACTGACACAAAACAGGTATGTGATTCCATAATGTAAAGAAAGAGCAACTTCCCCTAGTTTGATTGGAGGTTCAATATCTTTTCTTTACTGGAGATTACAGAAGCATTTACTATAGAAAATGTTAAATTTCTTACTAGAATAATTACTGTATCATGTGTAAAACAGTCCAAATTCCCTAAAGTTTGAAAAAACCCACAATAAAACAAATAAAAAACCCCAAACCACAGTAAGGAAAAAAAAAGAAAACTAAAAACCCAAACACTATTATTGCTTTTAGAGCTTTTAAAATAGTATTTTAACATGTAGGACCTGAAGCAGAGTTGTGGAAGATGCTTACATGAATTCTTGGGCCTCTGATGTAATTTTTAAACAGTGCTCATCTAAGTTAGTCCTTTTGCAATACCATGGTATGAAATGATATCTGCCTAATTTTTTAATGCTCAGCAATTTTCTTGTTACAAGATGCTGATTTTCTTTTTTTTTTTTTTTTTTTTTTTCCTCCAGGAAAAAGATTCTTCTCAGAACACTTCACAGCAGGTACAGAAAAAAGACCAGGAAGAAACAAATGTTGTGTCAGAGAAAGTATCTGTACCACTTGAACCTTGTACACCAAAGAAAAATTCTGTAATTGCACGAAATGTAGAGGAAAAAGCAGAAGTGATTTACTCAACTGCACTGAGTGAACCTTTACAAATTCAAAACCTGCAGCTTCCATATGAAGGTGGCTTTCAGGCAGACAGTGTCATTGTTGATAGTTTATCTAAGCAGTACATGCATCAGCCTAATCCTATTCTAATGACAGCAGCAGTCCAGAGCATGAAGGCTACCAGTGTTCATACTTCTATAGAGGATTCAGGAGGTTGTACAGCTACAGTCCTGCAATTTACAGACCCTGAGTACTTGAATTCATCTCTGAAACTGAACAGTGCTTTAGGGTCGGTTACTGACTATGCAGTTGAAAATTCTGTCCCTCATGTGGTCTGTTCTGGTGAAGTGCAGACAAGTGAAGATGCAGTTTTACTGAGTACAGTCACACAAACTATTGAACAGTTCAGTGGAAGTGAAGAGTCTGTCATTGCTATTATAATGCCAGCTGAGAGTCCAGAAGAGCCTGAAAGTGTAAATACTTCTTTTCTGCCCGTTAAGGAAGAGTTTCTTGACGTAGAGGATACAGAAGTGATTGAACGTGACGGAAATGAAATACTGCAGACTGAACATTCATACTGCAGACAAGACATAGACAGAGATCACCTTTGGCAAAAAATTTCAAAACTCCACTCTAAGATAACTTTACTTGAAATGCAAGAGGTAAAAACTTTGGGGAGACTCAGGTCCTTGGAAGCTCTTATTAGACAATTGAAGCAAGAAAACTTGCTTTCTGAAGAAAAGCTCAAGTTGGTAGAAAACTACTTTACAACACTTGAAGTGACTATGATACAGTAAAGGCTTTCAGTTGATGGTTCTCAAATATCTTTTTAACCTCTTTGACTGTACTTTTGGACAAATTAACTTTTTTTCCAGTTGTGGTGTTTTAAACATGTAATGAAAATCATGTGAATAGCATTCTTTAAAATGTAACATCAAACAAAGCTAAGTGGTAGAATGTTGTCTGCAAAACATGACTGGCAAGTAAAATTTTTAAAAAAACCTGAATTGGGCAAAATTTTCTTAAATGTGTGAATCAAGTCAGTAAAAGATAATTTAACCCTTCTTAGCTGCAGGCTTCTCTGAAACATGCAAGGCCTGCATTGGGGACAGCAGTAGAATGGGCAGAATAAGCATATAGGATGAACAATTATATACGTACATATATGCATTGTCCAGTGAGGACAAAATTGCTCTTTAGTTTTCTGCTCATCTGACATTTGTTCTGATAGTTTTTTTGTATGCTTTGATCTTATTAAAATTGTTTCTGCATAAAGATGTTTTCTTTAGTTTGTTTCTAGAAACAAAAATTCTCATAAGAATATAGTTCCAGTGGACAGGCCCATCTCATTTTTAATTTTTTTTGTTATGAGTCAGCTCAAGTGGAAAGCAATCTTAATCACAGATGTGTTTGCTAGTTAGTAAAAGGGAAAGCTCTATTTAGTGAATGCTGGCTGCATTGATACTGTTACAGCATACAGCTTGGTAATGCATGTACTCTTAATAATACACTGAAGGAAACAATGTTCTGCAGAGGAGGTTGCCAGTGAAAATAGCAGAATTTTACTTTGCAAGAAACAGAATTACAAAACTAGAAATTTACTCCCTTTTCCTGATTTTATTAACTATTTCTAGTGCATGGGTTATCACTATAGTAGACAGATACTATAATTCATTTCAAGGAAAATTAATTTGCTTAAATACTTTCTGCTTATTCTGTCAGTGTTATGCTGTATGCTCCAGTACAGTGAAAAAGTCCTAGATCTTCTGGTTCCTGACTTGACATCATAGCTGTGCTAGCTGATCCCTTCCAGCTGAACTTTTCTAGTGTATTATATTCTACAACCATTAGATTGCTTGAGGATGTGTTTTTCATTATTCAAAATGGTGTCATCCCCACCACCACAAGTTCAGTCTAGGATTGAAGCAATGGGTTCCTTTTCAATATTATTTATATTGTCTTTTACATGGTTTCTAAGCTGTTCTTTTAATCTTTTCATGAGGAATTGAGACTCAGTTCCCACTAGCTACAAAGCCGGCCTCCAACTAGATAATAAGTTCCAATTTCAAAATTTTTGAGACTTGGAATATCTTAGAGTGCAGAAGTTGGGTTGCTAAAGCACAGTGCTGTAGGAGGTTAGTCTGCCTTAGTAACCACTGGATTAGGCTTGCTTTTTCCTGCAGCTCCTTAACTTCTTTCACACTTGAAGCACAGGCTGTGCTTGGTAAAATTGCTAAAGGACAAAGGTCACTTACAATATGGTGAGTTATTTACCATGTCTCTGACTCACTCATTTTGCCCTCCCTGGAACAAGAGAACATTCCTGTTCTGCCTTGTATGTTATGAAATCACAAGGGGTGTTCTGTATATTGTAGAAACACTGCTGCCATATCTGATCCTGTCTTGGGAGCATTGTCCAGGTGGCCTCTCTGAACTGCACATTTTGTAATGTTTTACAAAGTAAGAGATCTTTCAAAGTGATTTACAAAATGCTGTATGAAATTGCTAAATGATTTGGCAATTTTAGAAGTCTCATGAATGTACTACAAATCCTTTGCTAATGCTGTATATTTTAAGACTGACAACCCATTTCAAAAGTTTGCAGTAGTCCTTGAATGGCAGTGAGAACTCAGACATGGCAAAAGAACAGCAACACCATAAGCTCTTCTCTCAGCTAAGCTCTATTCCCCCCAAAATTTGAGAGGTTTAACATGGGATTTGCATTGCTGATACACTTTTGCTTTTATTAAGAGCTTACAGTATTAAAATTAAATATATTGTTTGTGGCATAGATTTCTTTAAACATGGGGAAAACCCATGTTTAAAGAAAATGCTCAATTTCTCTTTCTTCGATGGAATTTCATGAGTTCACTTTGGCTGGATGCCAGGTGCCCACCAAGCTGTTCTATCTGTCTACTTCCAGCGGGACAGGGGAGAGAAAACACTATGGAAAACAACTCACAGGTTGAGATAAGGCAGTTTACTAAAGCAAAAGCAAAATTTTCCAAACACACAAGCAAAGAAAGAGAAAAAGAAGGGTTCATTCTCTACTTCACATTGGTAATGACATTCAGCCACTTCCCAGGAAGCAGCGCTTCAGCACACATAGGGATTGCTCCAAAAGGCAAATACTGTAAATAAAGAATTCCCCCCTTCCTCTTCCTTGCCTTAGCTTTTATATGTGAGCTGACGCCATATGGTATGGAATATCTCTTTGGACTGCTTGGGTCAGCTGTCCTGGGATCCTGCCCAGGCCTGGCCAGGAAGTTGGGGAGACTGCACAGATGCTGTGCCAGCTCTGCTCGGCTGCAGCCAAAACACTTGTGTTTTACCAATCCCTTTCCAGCTACCAGTGCACAGCACAGCTCTGTGAAGGCTGCTCTGGAGAAATGAACTTTGTCTCAGCCCTAGATTATAGCAGAAAAAGTTGCCAGGTTTACACATTTTCCTTCAGAGTGTGTTTTGGACCAATGGGGCCAGGGTGGATATATTCATTTAAAAATATTCCGCATTACAGTTGGCTGTTGCTGCTGACAGGAAGGTATGTCTGGGTCCTTTGCTTCAGTTATACACTAACCCTGAATTACTGGGCTAATTATTACAAGTAAGGAGAAATAGCATGTTGAGAATCAACAAACCTCTCTGAATTAGATGCTACATGTGCAGTGCAATTTCACTGTCCCCTAATCATTAAGCCTGGCACACACACAATTGTATTTCAATAAGCTTTGTGGCCACCTGTGCTGTATATTACTCCTTAAGATCCAGTGGAAACTGCGTCTGTACAGTTGCAGCTCTGCATTTGAGTAGTGCACTGAATCATCATCATTCCTTTTGTAATGTATCAGGCTTATCTTGATCCAAGTCAAATGTGCACGTTTATCTTTTCAATAAATTTTGATTTACATCAAATTTTTTAAAAATCTTTTGACTTTCCACTTCCACTGAAGTAACTTTCTTCAATTAGTTACTTCAACAGATGCAACCTGTTTTCTTAAGGCACCTGTTGAATTGTTCAGCTCTATTTCTTTTCCACTGTCCACTGGCTACTGTAGAAATTTGGCTTTTGCTTTCTCCTGGGTCTTTATTTAAATCCCACCAGTTTTATTAAATTTACCTTTAATTTTATTAAAATTACCTCAAGAAGTAGGTAATGCCTACAAGGCATTCCATCTGGAATAAACTGGTGCTCATTTTCTGTTATTTTCCATCTTCTGAATTTATCACTCTCATGCTGTGAAATTAATCTCTCATTCCGAATGCAGGGGCAGCTACAGGGGATTTTTTATTCCTCTCAGACTAACAGCTGTCCAGAGTTTCTCTTTTGTGCTTTCTTGCGTCAGAGGTGCAAATATTGACTGCACTTTTGCATGCATCACAAGCATTCCTTAGAAGTCTGCCTAGATCAACGTCTTTGATCTTTTTTCACTTTTTTTACCACAGTGAATTTGTAATTATTCCACTTAAACCACTTGCCACTTAAACTCTCTCTGCCTGCCTGTGAGAAGTGGTGAATTAATTCCATTTTTTTATTTGCTTGCATGTATAGCTTCTGCTTTCCCTGTTAAACTGTCTTTATCGTCAACCCACAAATTCCCTCACTTTTATTCTGGTTCTCTCTCCCTATCCCACCAGGAAAAGTGTGGAAGTGGCAGCATGAGTCTGTCTTAGTTTCTGACTGAGGTTTGACACACACGTTGTTCCTGATTGCTTTATGCACAACTCAATGCTCCTCTCCCCTGGATGATGCCCCTGAACTGCAGGTTAATGTCGTACACACAAATCCACGTCCTGCGCTTCAGCCTATCCAGTGCTGCCTCAGCAAAGCACTAGGACAGCTGAGCAGCCTTTCCCTGTCACAGAGAGATGGTCTAACACCCAGGGACCATCACACACCCAGGGAACCCATCACACACCCAGGGACCATCACATCACCTCACCAGGGCTCATGCTGGCAGGGCTGTCTGCACTCCATGGACTCCTACAGCCGTAATTACTTAATTATGTCAATGGCAGTGGTAAGAGACTGATTGGCAGAATATGTTATTTCTAAACCCACTGAAAAAGTGCAGAAATTTCTTTGCTCTTGGACTTTTTAAAGCCTTTAAGGCCTTAAAGTCTTAATCATAATGACAGTGGAGCAATGAGATGCAGAGCCTGCTTTTGTGAGAGATTGCAGCTGCACAGTAACAGGCACCACAAAAACCCACCGCCTTTCTGGGCAACCCGGGAGACACTGTGAGAAGCAGAATGAATTTTTTAACCACCCAGGCAGAACTGGACAAATTCCACACCCAACCTTGAGGAAAGGCATAAGACATGGGTGAATGACTTGGTTCCTTTCCATAGATTCCACAAGCAAGAAGCCTCTTGCTGTGTTGTAAGGCTGGAGCAGAAACTGGGCCTTGTGAGACACTCAGGGAAATGGGAGGAAGGAGTGGGCTTTGGCTTTGGCATTGGCAAAAGTGCTCTTCTCTGGGGCATCTCTGCACCACTGCAGTGCCAGTTGCAGGTGCTGTCCCCCTCGTTGTGTTCCCAATGCCAGGCACAGCTCAAAGTTGCTGAGAAAACCAAGTAAAGTGCTAAATGTCGTTATTTGCCAGCATCAAGGCAAGAGGGGAGAGAAACAGAGAAAGGGAAAGGGGCAAATTATATGCTCATGAATTACTTTAAAATGAGCTTAGATTTGGACAAAAATGTATTATCCTTTGTTCATTTATGAGACAATTTTCTGACTTTCACTAAATTTCTGCAACCTCAAGCAGATCTCTGTAAATGCTTTATAATTTTATTCCCGCTTACAAAAAATCACAGCTCTATTTTCTCCTTTATTAGAACCAGTGTAATGGATTTCTAATTTACCAGACCATTGACTGCTGCCAAGGTATGAGTTTCAGCCAAAAGATTTTCCACAAAGAAAACAGTAAGAGTAAAGCATCTAAATAGACATTTTCCAGTAAACGTATCTCTTGGCATTGTTAAATATTATGGGGTACATTGCAAAAAGTCTATCACTGTTTAAATACTTGTCTTTCCTATAAAGGATTGACATTTCTTATGGCACAAAATTTATAAGCCTTTTTCATAGTCATTCAAAAAGGTTAAACCGTAGAGGTGCCTGTGAAACGTATGTCTATTTCTATATAAAAATAGTATTTATTGCATATAACCAAAGCAGCACTGCTCTCTGTAAACAGCAGGTGGTGCTAGGGGATCACGCGGTAGACGTGAAACTAAAAACATGCATTTTATTTTTGTTCTGTTGTTGATTAAAC